TTTCAAGAAAATGGTATATATTTCTGTTTCGTAAAAATTACCTTACCAGATCTGAATCGTGAAACGTATCCGATTCCCGCTCTATAACTTTCACAAGGGTATTTGCCCTGAGAAGGCTGCTTAGACTGCAACGCTGCAGCGGCCTACACACCTTGATGTATGCTGCATCGACTCTTATATTTCATGAAGCAAGTAGCAGTATGTGTAGTACTGGAATCTGGAATCCTATTTTGGTCGGCGAGCCACAGCACCGTGTCGGTGATGCTGATGCAAGTTTCAGCGTGTATAGAATTGCGTCCATGATGGAAAGTGATCGATGATTTTAGAAAAGTTCATAAACATTTATCATCTACATACATGTATTTGGAATACAAAGGCTAAAGAGTATTCAGACAGAAACATAAGGAACCTAGGTAGTTTTCAAAATAACTTCATCCTACTGTTTGAGTGTTGCATGTTAAACATCGAGTCGATTCAGGCATCCCAACAGATTTTGGTTTCAGTAGGCGCTTTTATGCAACTGATACAAGTTTCATGAAACATTGAGTCGATTCAAGCATCGCAGCATACATCAAGGTGTGTACGCCGCTTTAGAGGCGATGCGACGGCGCAACGGTATATTCAACAAATTCTGAGACATTAGCTGTTGGTGCTCCCCCAAACGCTTGAAAACTTTGTTTTCCAATTAGATAAGGCCCGTCACATCCTTCTTTGGCCTCCTACATCCAGAGAATGTTTGCTTATTCTATTGTCTTCGTCAATGAGTATATCTGGGACAGCTAAAAAACTAGTAGGGTCAAGTGGTGCAAAAATGCAAAAAAACAATAACATTGTAAAAAATACGTTACAAATTACTTCCACATATATACAATTGAAATATGTAATGAATAATCAATAAGCGTAAATACAAACATCGAGAAAAAAACTATCGCATCTGATTGTGCATTTTGCTTAAAAAATCTTTTAAATTGTATTTACAAACTTTTCCTGTTGCGCCGCTGTACGTGATCGTAGAGACTCGGCAAGTATCGCGTTTTCAAAATAACAAATGCGGCTATGATATTCCATATAGAATTTAGTCTATTTTGATTTGTTTTTCAAGCAGGCACGTCGTGAATAACAGGTGCAAAAACGAGACACCACAAAGTTTAAAAACAAGACACCTGCCAGGTAAAAAACAAGACAGCTTTTATACCTTTGATTATAATGCCGAAGGTTTACGTTCCCAAAAAGCGCCCCTACGACAGAAAGAACATGGAAACAGCCCTAAAACTAATAGATAACGGCACTTTATCTCTTAGAAATGCAGCTAAACAGTTTAAAATTGACAAATCTGCCCTTTCTAGAAGACGTACTCGTTCACTTGGTAAACAGGGAAGAAAAACTTCGCTAACCAAATAAATGGAAGTAGACTTAAGTGATAAGATAAAAATTATGGCAAAATGGGGGTTTGCTCTCACCAAACCAGAGATACAAGCAATAGTTCAAACCTATGTACAAGAAACCCACCTTACTACCCAGTTTAAGGAAGGAAATCCCGGGAAAGATTGGTTTAAAAAGTCAAAAAAACGCAAAAAACGCAAGTTTACTACGTGGCACAAATCCTTAAAGTTTTTGAGAGCGATGTAGAAGTAAAATATCTGAGGCGCAAAGGATTTAAATTTATTTTTCCGGCCATTGAGGAAAAGTACTTCATCGACAAAAGTGACATAGAAATGAAACTTCCCCAGCCAGAAATAGAAAGTAAGACCTGTCGTATCTCTCAGCAATATTGGTTTCCTATCGACTTTGAAAAATATGTCGTTCAATAATATGTAGTACAAAATACGTTAGAATAATAAGTTTTCTACTTTAGCTCTTAAAATCCTATTGAAAATCTTGTTTTACCCCTTTTTTAAATTAGGTATGGTTTATTTAACTTGTTTTTGGATTTGTTTTCTTTTTAGTTTAATAAACATAGGTTTGTATTTAATTATGTGAGTTTTCTTTAAGAACGTTGTCACAATTTGAAACCTAACTATGTTATTTGACTTACTAAAGGCTTTAAAACCCTTGCAGTGTGTCTCGTTTTTATTCCCCAGGGTCTCATATTTTGCCACACTGATGTAAAATGACTAAAAGGCCAGAAAATACAGTGTCTTGTTTTTAACCTCTCATTGTCTCATTTTTAGCCTAAATAGTGGTTAAAAACTAGACACTGTTTTTTAACAAAAACGCCCTTCATTATGAATATTATGAACTTTTTACAACGTGAGGTATACTACATGGCTTTCTATATACAGGGCAATATAACCAAGCCTTAAAGTCTGTTTTTTTGTTAACAAAAAATTAAAAGATTTAAAAATCGTCTCGTTTTTGCACCACTTGACCCTAACACAGCATTGTGTTCCATACTGGCAAATTAGATGTGGCCTAACGCCATGTTTGCGGAAACTCAAAGGCCACAAGTCCGATATTTTATCACACATTATTCGTATGTACGTACATTGGACGAATATAAAAAATGTTTGAATACGGTTGGCTGGTAAAACAGTGACCCCTGTTTCGGACGTGTCAAAAATAATGGATGAATCTCAACAAGTGATGGAGTTGCTATGAACAACAATTCAGTTGACAGGCGGAGCCGCGTATGTGTTCAGTTACGTCCAACTCATTAATTTCAACCCGGCTATAGATCAATGTTGATTAGGACAAGAGCCGCCGAAATTGAAATATATTATGTGAAATTCGCTAGGAAATTGATTTGATGGGTACGTAACAAGAGGGTTGAGGTTCAGAGCTCTAATGCGCTGTAAAGTCAATTGTGCACCTAAGTCTAAGGTATTAGACTTCGTTTCTAAGTTCTTGGTGAACTTGGCAATCCTTTGTACTATGCTCTTCTAACTTCCCTCATGTGGGTGTTCCTTCGGTTGTTCTCGCTCTGTCTTTGTGAATTGGTTTCGTTCCCGCATATATTTTAATTATTACTTCCTTATGTATGTTAATTATTAGGTCTGGGTATCTGCTGTTGATTAAGGGGTTTTTCCACCGCCCAAAATTCGTTACGTCTAAAGGCTTTTCGAAATCTATAAACACCATACAGGGTGTTCATTTGAAAACTTCCCACCGCGGATCTACCGAAAGCCACAGATTAAAAGAAAACACGTCGAGACACGTCAAAAGATTTGTCAAAGGCGACAAGCCTTCAATTAAAAACTACGTCACCCCCGTTCAACCTAGGCTCCGCGGGGTCACTCCCTTAAAAATCTTTAATGACAAGGGGTATCGAGTAATAGCTTGTTTGAAAGGTCCTTTTAAGTCCTTTATGTTGACGGTTGACTTTTTACAATCAGTCGATTCGCTTTCGAGAAAATTAGAAAAATCTTTATACCTTAATTTGCTTAGATAGAAAACAAAAACACACGAAAATATCACTTTTTATTTCAATAAGTGTTCAAAAAATATTCCCATTAGAGTTTGCCAAATCTACAATTCACTTAAAATATAAAACGGAAACCACCAACATAAACAGCAATTCGGAAGATTAGAGGTGGCAACAACCAAATAACAACTCAAATTTTTTTCCGCATTCCTTTCATCAACCCAGATATCCTGGGCGAACTGAATTATTGTTATACCTGTTTAGTTATTTGTTACTAAGGGAAAGAAAGAATTTAATTTACTGTCAGTTACCTTTGTGACAATCTTGGGAGAGTGGAAATCATTCTAATTTATGGTGCCCAAAATCAATGTGCTCGGAAAACTAACGTCACGTTTAACGCCAGACATCCGGGGAAGATAACTTCGCATAGGTATGTTTTGAACCTTGTTATTAAATTAACTCAAACTGGATCTGTTGCAAATAAAAAACGTGATCTTCGGAGTGTTTTGGATGAAGCCGCTCAAGTTGAAGTTTTTGGTCATTCTGAAATAAATCCTAATACTTCATTTCGGAAAATTGTTGCTGCGACTGGTATTTCATTAGAATCTGTACACGCAGTTAATAAACTCCAAAAATTTCATACATTCAAAATGAAAATATTGCAAGGGTTAACCTAAGATGATTTCGATAGGCTTGTTGCGTGAACAAGTGACAGCGATTAATGATAATACCATTCACGTAAAGAATATCTGCATCAGTGATGAATGCACATTGTACTATGTTCTTCCGGTTCGGCAATATCTAGACGTCGAGTTTCCAGATAAATGGATAGGACAAAGAGGCTCTATAGAATGGCCTGCTAGATCTCCTAATTTGACGCCATTAGACTTTTTTCTATAGGGCCATTTGAAATTTATTGTGTTAACTCCCCAACCTGAAAGTTTGGATGAACTTCGTCAACGCATCATCGAAAGCTGCCATGATATCTCACAGCATGTGGAAATGTCCGTCAGGAATTTGAACACTTATTGAAATAAAAAGTGACATTTTCGTGTGTTTTTGATTTAAACGTCAAAATAAAGTACTTCGAAAGGCCTTTCAAACAAGCTATTACTCGGTACCTCTTGTCATTCAAAATTTTTAAGGGCATGACCCTGGGGAAAGGAGGTGAAGTAGCTTTTGGTAAAAAAGTTGTCCCGCTTGAAAAATCTTTTTAAGTGTCTCGTTTTTCCTTTTAATCAGTGGTTTCCGGTGGTATTCATTTATCCGTTCTACAAGGATTATGATAGTTAATGAATGGTTATTTTGCTAAATCCCTAAAACCAGCTTGCTCTTTCGATTAGTATCTATCGAATGTCATTAGTCCATTGGAAACTTGGTACAGTCTCGTCTATTTTCTGTGGATGTGATCTAAATAACCAGTGGCCGGTCATAAGACCAACCACCCTCCCTAGCTCTTTCCTACTCGTCCAAGCACTTCTGCTGTATTTATTATTATTATTATTATTATGATAATTGAGATGAGCAGAGTACACAGTACTATAAGCTCATGCAGTAAATATAGTGTACGGACACGTAACACAAATACATCAAATAGAAAAAAATAGAAAAAGACAGTTCATAGCTATAAAGTTTGTACACTCCTCCAGCTATCATACTGCACTTTGAAGCTATTAACTGAAGTAGCACCAACCACACTTTCAGGTAAACTATTCCAGGTGTTGAATATGCGGTTGGGAAGAAACCACTGTCGGACTGTTGTTTTAAATGGCTCCTTATGCAGTTTGAAGCTGTGTCCGCGTAGATTGCTGCGCGACGGACGGTATAGATGCATGAGGTTGGTGCCCATCAAACCATGAAGTATCCTGAACGTAACTATAAGATCGCCACGAAGTCTTCGCTCAGAGAATGAGGTCAGGTTAAAAAATTCAAGGCGATGTTCATAGCTTGGTCTCCGTGCTCCAAAAGAGATACGCGTAGCCCGACGCTGTACTGATTCGACGAGATTTCTATCGCGCAGAAGCACAGTGTCCCATACCGGGCCAGCGAATTCAAGAATTGGCCTCACGAATGCCTTGTAAATGTAGGCGCAAGTGTTGACATCGGATCCTTTGAAAGACCTCTCCAGCATGTATAGAAGTTTCTTGGCTTTTGATGTAACGTGGTGAATATGCTCTGACCAGGAAAGACGATCGTTGACTACAACGCCCAGATCAGAGTGGCTGGAAACTGCTTCGATGTTGTGGTCAGAGATCTTGTATGTAAATCGCGGATTTGTCTTCCCGAGGTGAAGGACACAACACTTAGTTAGATTTAAGCGTAAAAGCCAACTGACTGACCATTGACAAACAATATCAAGATCTCGTTGAAGCATAGCAGAATTTACGACAGTATTGTAAATCTTGGTGTCATCGGCATAAGCAGAATATGTGGAGGAAATCAATGCGGGCAGGTCACTTATATACAGAAGGAACAGCACTGACCCCAAGACAGAGCCTTGAGGAACTCCACTTGCTACATGATGAAGGTAAGACTGGCTATCACTGACGCGCACAGAGAAAGTCCTCCCGGTGAGAAAAGCCTTAATCCACAGTAACAACTCGCCTCTTATTCCCATACATTCCAACTTAAACAGAAGCCTTCTATGTGGTACGCGATCGAAAGCCCTAGAAAAATCCAAGTAGATTATATCAACAGGAGTCTTTGTGTCCAGATACTGAGTCCAATCGTTGAGAGAGTGGAGAAGGTTGGTCATTATTGATCGACCAGGGAGAAATCCATGCTGATTCTTAGGGATAAGGTCATTTTCGAAAGCAAATGACAGGAGCTTATCTAATATGATTCTTTCAGCTATTTTGGCGGCGATAGGAACGAGACTTATTGGTCGATAATTTTTAGCGGAGGATTTGTCGCCCTTTTTGAATACAGGGGTAACAGAAGCACTAAGCCAGCATGAGGGTAGGATATGAGATCTAAAAGACGATGTGAATATCAAGCTTAATGGTAGGGCCAGTGCTGAAGTGCAGTTTTTAAGTACAGCAGCCGTCATCCCATCTTTACCAGGGGAGGAAGAGGTCTTCAGTTTTCGCAGGTGCATTAATACATCTTCAGGCAGGAACTCAACTTCGCAAATGCTGTTGGGACACCTATGTCAGATAGTGGTCGGTAGAAGGTCTCCATTAGGCTCATCGACGAAGTCATCACTAAAGGACTCTGCCAGTAAGTTGGCATATTCGGTGGCATCCATGTGGAGATGACCGTCAGCGTCGCGGATCTGAGGTGTTGAAACTTTGGAATTCAGGTTTGTTCTTAGATACCGAAACAGCTTCTTCTTCTTTTGGAGGTAACGAGTTTTCGTTCATAAGCATGTTTGGCATTATGTAACGTTCTAGATAGGAGGTTAGAAAAGGATCGATGAGACACGTAATCTTGTGAATGGCCACTCCTCCTAAACCGTTGCCACAAAGATCTCTTGTGACGAAGCATCCTCGATATGTTAGAGTTGATCCAGGGCTTTGAGGGGTCACAGTATACCTTCTTTTCAACAGTATTGTCAGCCGTTTCGCTTAGGACTCGTTGAGCGAAAGTGTCCCACATATCTTGGGTGCTACGGTTGTTAAGCAAAGCAGGCCAGTTTACTTCAGACAGGGCTTGGTTAAGAGCATCGTGGTTTACAATTTTGATGGTTTTAAACTTATCGGTTGTAGAACGACTATTTATATTGAACTGGAGAGAAGATAAAAGTGAACAGTGGTCAGACTTGGAAAAAGGTGGCAAATAATCTAAATTAGAAACAAAGTCGGCGTCGTTAACGAATATCAAATCCAGAGCCCTAGGCGACTGTCCTTCCCTGAATCTCGTTGGACGGTATCAGCATTTTCTTAGACTGAGTCTGTCTGACTACCCCATCCCACCTCTTTTGGTGCTCATTTGACAATGTGCGGAAGACAATACGGATTACCGCTGGCTCAGGTACAATGAGAGTTATATCAGCTCCTTTTTTAGCACACTTATCGGCTCCCTTATTACCATCTATCCCCATCTATCTTGGCACCTTGACACCTCGTATCTGACCTGTCGTGTCGGGATTGCGGTTTATGATTGCTTTATGATGCATTGTTTCATCTTAGTATTGTCAGTGTTGTATTTCATAGACATACCTTTTTGATTCACAAAAAATGCAAATACACCAATTTATATTCGTATACGCTTGGTAAAGTTTTTCAACTCAATTTCCAAACAAAATATTATTATTCTATCCAGTTAACAATGTTCATTGGCCAGATTGTATTTCTAGTTGCTTTTCACTTCTTTCTGTTTTTTTCTGAAAGGTAAGCCTGACGAATAAAATTCCAGGCTCATAGAAAACAATGCCTTAAACGTCTTAACATCTTTGAATAATAAAATAGTCCCTGAAAGTGTAAAATCATAAAGTATGTTAGCACTGAAACTGTAATTACTTGAGCATCATTGAGAAGGTAAATCAGTATAATTGTCAATGCTGATTCGACATTTCCCGTTGACGCTACCACAAATGTTGCAAAAATCTGTTGCTACTTCCTATTACCCTGACAGCAGATACACTCATTAGCCGCATATTCGGTATTCATTAGGACCGCATGGGTAAATGTCACATGTAGATGCCTGAATAAATACATTACACCTGCAACAAATAGTGTTGAATTCACATCCTGCTGTAAGTGTTTGAAATGTTTGTCAGCTTGTCAATTACAGATTCGTGCAATGGGTGCAATCAACGTTACACAAAAATACGTGAACAACATTCATTCATTACAACGTAGGTGGACGCATGCAATTTTGAAAAATGTTCCAGCATAGCCTATAGAAAGACTTCGGGATATGCGAAATGCAAATATTCATTAGTAGAGTCAATGGTAGTCTAGCTTTTCAATCAAAATTTCACCACAGTCCCAGTGATATTTTTTGTTTTTTGATTTTGCCATTTTTCAGTTCACAGTTTTTGATTAGGGTGTCCGCAAGGCTGGGATTTTATTGTATACGGTGTATAGATCTTGAAAAAATGAGCATATACAACACAGACTCAAGATAACAGAGATATAAGGCTCCGCAAAATCAGTCAATCCTAAACCAAACCTTATCAGGTCGTCAAAAGTGAGTAGGCATGACGCACATCAGTATTCAATCCAGGCACGGGCAGCGTAGGTAAACAAAACATTAATAATCATCGGTTCGAAATAACCAAAATGGCACACCGGCAGGGGTATTACGTATCTTGAAAAGTGACATGTCATTTTTTTTAAATTATATAGGTTTTTATGTGACATTATGTAGGTGTTTCTCTAAGATGACAACTTGGAACTAGCTGTCGCACATTTTGACCACTCATAGAAGCTATACGTGTTGCCTATGACGTCATCACACTTGAACTATTTGGTTTATGTAACCTCTGCTTCAGATATAGATATTTAAAGCCAGGCGCTCTGAGGCAAAGGATAAAATCTGGACCCTCCCCCCACATGAATAAAGAATTACTAAATGCACCATTTATATAAAAAGAAACTGTGGATAAAACATCACATAAAACTATATTTATGGTAGCCTGAGAATAAGACCAAAATATTCAATTACGGAAAGCAGTAATCTACAGAACACATTTTATTCATTTTATAGAATGTATCATAAGGCTTAACAGTAAATAGTTGTGCGCATACTAGGAGAAAATCCTTTAGACTAACAATATTCTTTGAACCCTTCATCAATAGGGATGCTTACCTAATATTTGGAAATTTGTAAGTTATCCATTACAGCTTTAGATATTAAGTAGGCTTGTATTTATCCCTAAAACATTTTGTACACTATAGTCTATATCAAAAATTGAAAAAATAATACGAATTTGTTATATTTTAACATGAACATAGATATTACAAAACCTAACTAATCACAATATAATTACTGAAAACCAGTACATTCAATCAATTGGTGTATATATATACGAGCCCCTTCCCACTTCAGTTGGTCCACTTCAAGATTTGTACCAAAATATGCATTTATAAACTAAACATGACGAAACTATTTACTTCTAAAACAATATATTTTCTCAAAAACATTTTAGATACACCCTAAACAATGTGCGAATAAATGCGAAGCAACAATTGAAATATTACTATTGGGTAACATCACCTTTATTTTTTATTACGGCTGAAATTCTTTGGGGCATAGTGTTAACCAAGTTTTGGCAAAAATTTGGTGTAAAACAATCCCATATTTCTTGAAGCTTTTATCTCAGTTCGGTGATTGTACGAGCAGGATGTTGTCGTAGAACCTTTTTCATCTCGTGCCACAAAGTTTCAATAGGTGACAGATCTGGACTGCTAGAAACCCATTTCAAAAGTGGTTCATTATTTTCTTCCATCCATTTTATAGCCTTTTTTGAGGTATGGCAGGCTGCACCATCTTGCTGAAACACAAAATCTGATGTCAAACATTCTTCCATCACTGGTAAAAGCGATTTTTCTAAAATTGCCAAATATTTGTTTGTATCCACATTTCCATCAATAAAATGAAGTTTTCCTACTCCTTTTGATGACATACTGCCCCAGACTATAATGGATGCTGAAAATTTCACTTTTCTCTTCAGACAGTCAACATGGAATGCTTAATTTTTTTGCGAATAACTCTACTGCGACTGTCACCAACACAAACTTCGTTCTTTAGCCCATCTAAGCCGATTTTTCTTTTGCAGTGGAGTTAATAGTGGCTTTTCTTTGGCCTATAACCAAGTTCTGCAACTTTAGGGTTTTTTTATAAGAAAACTTACCTTGCAAGTGCTAAATCCCAGTTTGTCGGCCTCTCTATGAGTTGTGGACCTCGAAATTCTTTTTTCAACAGCGTCACTCCACAGAGTACTTGATTCTAAATAATTGGCTCGCCTGTTTTTCATGATTATTCTTCCTAATGCTCTTCGGTCGGCATTTGTGATATTACTATATTCACATATCGTGGCTTAATATTAACTGAGCCAGTTACGCTTTATCTTCTAACAATATTTCTCACACTGTAAAAAAATTTAAATATCAGTAACCGAATTTTCTCACTAATAACTTTTCCTCTACCCATTTTAAAAACCTTAACTACCCAAAACTATTTTAAAAGTATTCTGACAGCTGTGATTAATAAAAACAATTGTCATGGCTTTTATTTTTCACAGCCGCCTAGGTATTATAGACTTATTTTGAATTGAAATGAAAATAGGTTGATATGCTGTAATTGCAACATGTGTTACTTTTGTGCTGCAAATTTTATTGTTAATATTTTAAACCTATAACACCCTGCTACATTTTTATTATTTGTGTTTGATAAGAAAAAAGCTAAGATTTCAATAGTTGGGCCAACTGAAGTGGGAAGGGGCTTTTTGCTACAAATCTGTCCAGTTTCTATGATGAACAGCAGTTTAAGGGCACGATATAGATTCTCAAAAGGCACAGTAAGATACAACATAGCGACATTATTCGTGACGACTTAAATCAGCCGACTGGTAGAGGATTATCAATTCTACCAATACAACAGTGTTATTTGCTCTAATCCGTTCTTATGCAACTGAAAATTTTATCTTTGAGGTAAGCTCATTGAGGCTGAAATATGAAAATATTCAGAATGATGGTACGCCGTATGTGTCTCTCACAATCTTCATGAATCCGATCCATTCAATTACTGGAACAAGGTTGGGTGAGAACGACTATGCATGTAAAATATATTTATTGACACCATTAATCCCTCGAGCACAGTTGAACGGAGATAGAACAGAGTGCACAAATGTACACGGGGTATAATTAAGAGGACAACTGATGTCTGGAAATGCAAGTGTGCAATATAGTAATACAATATCAAGATACAATGATAATTTAGATGGCCTCATGATAAATGTCTTGATTACACCTGTGAAGTTTAAAACCGTATAGCTGCTTTAGCTACTATGGAATTAACAGCAGCCAATATGACGTATAATATGTGAAAAACGTACAAGTGATTTGATTGCTCAGACTGTAGAGCATACTTATGCTTCATATGTTAAAAATTACTTATTTTTGTTCCTATACTTGTCGCTTCTTTCGTATGAATATACCATCGGTTTTTATGACTTGATAATGAACAATATTTTTGTTTTTCAGTCAATTTGATCTGTGTAACTTCAAACACAAGTGCCAAAAACCGCAAACATTAACAGAAATTTGATTTAAATTTGTCAGAGCATGACGTTGCTAATTTACATTTACATTAGGAAACACTTGAGTGTGACTTCATTGAGGTACCCTCAATTGTACTTGTGGGTCACCATTAAGAATATGATTCTTGCTCAATATAATAGAATGTGATTCAAAGTCGAGGGTAACAATTTAGTTAACCAATGGTGACACACGAATTCAAGATATGATTAAAATACTACAGGATTTAATTTCACTGTTTATAACGCATCATAACAGAAATCGCCAATACATTCCAGATATAATGTATTTCTTCCAGTAAGTGCTTACACCTTTTTGTGAGACTACTCATTTAATTGCTCCCTTTCTTTATATCTAAGGGTCAGTCTTGCAATATACAGGGTGACTTCGAAGTTGAGTCATTTATTTTAACAGTGAGTAGATCTGATCAAAAAAAATGTTTTTTTCCTTTAACATTCTTGTGGTAAAATTAAAGTAACAAAGTTATAGCCCTTTAGAAATTTGAGTACCGCCCTGTCTCAATAATAACATTATGTGCTCGTGTTTGGCAACAACGGATATAATTCACCTTATCGGTTCATCGCATCGGAAACAAAAAAGCGAAAGAATTTGAAATGCTTATCACGATGTTTTTACTACAATTTTATTCAGTTGTATTACGTCAATGTGTCAGTCGGTAATGCGTGAATGAATAGTGGTGTTTGTTGCGTGGCTCAAACGAAATAAAAAATGGCAAATGTTTACGAAAATGCTGAACTTGTGGACATGATTCTTATTTACGGGGGGGGAGTCTTTATAAAATGCTGCCGCGGCATCACGGATTTATGCGGATCGGTTTCCCAATCGAGTGCAACCAACCCCTCGTGCCTTTGTTAATGTAGTACAAAGGGCTCGTGAATCAGGTGACTTAAGACCTCACAGGGGAGGGCATGCCGGATGCCGGTGCTCCAAGACCGCACGATCAAATACAGGTCCGCACTGAAATACTTGTCGGGAGGATACTTTATAAAACAAGGTAGCATTTTTTTTATTTTTTTTTTATTTTTACATACATATTTTGGTTTAACTTCCTTCTACAATCACTATCTGAAAATTAATGGCTCAACTTCATCGCTTGTTGGGATGTGAAAAAATGACACGCTCCAATAATCCTAGAGGGTTTCAAGACGCAAAATCCCCTATTAAAAATATAACAATCGTACTGCAGAGTTTGTAAATGCAAAGACCTTGCTGCCAATTCCAAGATTCAGGTTTCAATATTTATTTTGTACTGGTTGTTCCTTAAATGGCTTTTTCATTACTACGGATATTATCAATATTGTTCGCCCGTTTCTCCTTATCACCCGCAATAGCCATTCACGTTAACGTCCAAGCATTATCGGCAAACATACAAATTGATTGTGTGAAAATGAAATCAGAATAGTCAATAAAAACCCTACGTAGGTCAGAAATTATATTGCGTGCTTGTTTCAGGTATGCCGTACGATGTAACTTTATTCTGGCACCAGTATCCATGGCTTCTGGGTAAAAGGGCTTGTCAGTCCAGAGCACTGATCTCAGAAACGTAAGTAACATTGTAACTCCGTACAATTTATTTTGCTGAACCGGGTATCTCACCAATTAAGTATTTTAGGACCTATGTTGGAGTCAGTGGTGGACCCATTAAAATTCACAATTGTGTACGTAGTGTATATGCAACGCCTATAAAAGTGATATTTGAATTATTATAAGATGTATAAATTTGAATGTTTATTATTTATGTATGCAAAGTTGTAGTTTTAGATGAATTAGCAACATTTCTGAAGTAAAATAAAATACATTCGGGAAACAAGACTTACCCATTTCATTCAGCGTCGTCAGCATCCCCATCACTTAAATTGGCAATGACGTTATCATTTGTTAAAGCAAACTAACTTACCTACGAGATTTAAAGCGACATGTAGCTGAATTGTACAACTTTTTTACAAATATAGCACTTGTCAGTATATTTTCTTCTATTAGTTTAATCATATTAGACGAAAATACCCCTGCTTTGCGAAATAATTGTAGTCTAGTTTTGTTGCTGCACAAAAAGTTGTTCAAAGGGGTATTCAAAACATAGACGCATAAAATGGGTACACCAATTTTTGTGGGAAAACTTTTTGTTCGATAACAAAGAGTGAGAAAACGTGTTTTTTGGGATTCAATCTGAAGTGTTGGCAGGAACGAAATAACTCTTTAACTTAACTTCGAAGTTGAGTCATTTATTTTAACAGTGAGTAGATCTGATCAAAAGAAATGTTTTTTTCTTTACCATTTTCCTGGTAAAATTAAAGTAACAAAGTTATAGCCCTTTGGAAGTTTGAGTACCGCCCTGTCTCAATAATAATATTATGTGGTCGTGTTTGGCGACAACGGATATAATCCGCCGTATCGGTTCATCGCATCGGAAACAAAAAAGCGAAAGAATTTTGAACGATGTTTTTACAAGTATTTCATTCATTTGTATACAGTCAGTGTTAGTGAATAGTGGTATCTGTTGCGTGTCTCAAACGAAATAAAAAATGGCACATGTTTATGCGGATCGGTTTCCCAATCGAGTGCAACCAACCCCTCGTGCCTTTGTTAATGTAGTACAACGGGCTCGTGAATCAGGTGACTTAAGACCTCACAGGGGACCTCACGATCAAATACAGGTCCGCACTGAAATACTTGTCGGGAGGATACTTTATAAAACAAGGTAAAAAATTTTTTTTTATTTTTACACACATATTTTGGTTTATCTTCCTTCTACAATCATTATCTGAAAATTAATGACTCAACTTCAAAGTCACCCTGTATAAGATTTTTAGGTATTTATGAGACCTACAAAAAGGTACTACACGTAAAAAGATCTGACTAATGGCAAAAAAGTTACAGCCAAAAACCGAGGCAGACTACAGGTTTTGGCACTTGTTGGTAATGCGACGATGGTTTCTCGCAGATATTTAAAATTCTCCAAATTCGTAGGATTCGTACTTCTAAATAACCACAACAAAATTGGAGTAGACTGGTCTAGTAGTTTTTGAGAATTTCTAATGGTTTATCCTAAAACACCTGTTTTCCGGACGTGACTACTAGTTTATTGAACAATATACGGGGTTAGTTCAAAGGGCATTTTATAGAAAAATACTCTAGTTTACCTTGCCGATATGAATCGCAAACCATTCCGGAAGATAAATGTTATTTCCATGCAAAAAAGGATGGGTTACGTTTTTTCTTGTAAACAAATTTAAGCATTTCGTATTTGTGAGTAGTGAGTAATTCGCTACAAAATATGGTAGACACATCCGCTTTGTTTTAAAATATGTATAGTAACGTATGTTTTCGAATACTGTGGCGAATTTGTTCAATTACTCACAAATACGAAATGTTTGAGTTTGCTTAGAAGAAAACAACGTAACCTTCGTTTTTCGCATAAAAATTAAAATTATCTTTCAGAATGGTTTGCGATTCATGTCGGCAAGGTAAAAACGTGTATTTTGCTATTAAATGCTCTTTGGATGAACCCTGTATATTGCTCAATAAACTAGTAGTGATGGCTGGAAAACAGGTGTTTTGGGATAAACAATAAGAAATTCTCAAAAAACTACTTGACCAATACAATCCAATTTTGTTGTTGTTATTTAGAGGTATGAATCCTACGGATATGAAGAATCTCAAGTAGTTGCGGGAAATTGTCGTTGCATTACCAAGTGCCAAAGCCTGCATTTTGCCTCGTTTTTCGGCCATAGCATTTTTGCTATTATCCGGAGCTTTTTAATATGTGGTCTCTTTTTGTATGTCTCATAAATACCTAAAAATCTTATATGAGGTGTTTTTTCGTTCCTGTCAGCACTTCTGATTGAATCTCAAAAAACACGTTTTCAGATTATTTGTTGTCAAATAAAAAGTTTTCCCACTAAAATTGGTGTACCCATTTTATGCGTCCATGTTTTAAATACCCCCTGGAACGACTTGCACCAATAAAACCAGACTTTACAATTATTTCTGGGTAATTTGCTATTATGATTAGACTATCATAGTTGCAGGCTTACTAGTGTTTCGACGTTTGGCAGTATATCTAACCTCACTTATGTTATTCTATACATTGTCTACACCGTTGTACACTGTCTGCACCACAAAGACTAGATATGGGAGGTTAAACTGCGTACGCGTAAGGGATACATGTACATATTGATATGAAGCCAATCCTATCGCCAGGCCGTGCGTTGTAGGTTTATTACTTCGTGGTTAGATAATATTTGCCAGTATTCCTGCTTGAAACTCGTCCGAACTACCACATTGGAGTTGTTCATGATTCAGCAACAGAGAGAGAGAGAGAAATGCCACATGTGCAGAGCCGGAAATGTATTTTCTGTTTAGTGTACAGACGAGAGAAATTCCCAATGCGCAGCGCCTGAAATTCATTTGAACAGTGTACCATCTCACTTCATCGTCGACATTCTTGGCTTCGCCCTCACTCCATGAGTATAACCTCCTGTCTATAGCTTTCATGGTCTATACCCTATTTCACGAGTATCCATCATGCTTTGACGTCTACTGAGGTGAACATCTGATCAGCAAGTGACATTTTTGTGTTAGTCTGCAACGTTGGCGATAATAAATCTGGTATAAATCTTGTAAAACTTATTTGTGGGGTTTTGTATTTTGTAGGCAAATGAACTTTTCTAAATAAAAAAGCTGTTAACAAGCACAAGATGAATGTATAAAAACTAAAACAAAATACGGCTCTGTTTACCTGGAGTTGACAGATCCGTCCGAATTATGTGTTCTGTGTCGATATGGGGAATTTTGAGATATCACTAGATAATCAGCTGTCATTCTATCGCGATGGATACTCGTGAAATAGGGTATACGAAACGTAGAAAATCAATGTCTTCGCGTAAACCTTCATCACTAGTTGGAGTACCAGGAAATAGTTCAATAAAATAAATAAAAGATTTTATCAATAAGACGGCATGGAGGCATCTGTTTTTCTTTCTTTATAATGTGCCATTGTTAGTTTAAGAGATTTAAAAATTCCTAGTCTGCTACTGCTAATAGGCTGGAAGTTTGTGTTGAACTTTGTAAAGACCAAAGTACTACTTAAAATGTCTTTTCATGAAGACTTCTAACAGTCTTGAAGCAGCACGAGTCTCAAGTCGGGCGTCTAATTTATTAAGTTTCTCTTAATCACTTAACGTTTTTATTACGTATAGCTTCCCTTGTTATTTATTGTTCCAGAACTAACTAATTGCTGATACTACCGCTTCCTAGTGACAGTTATAGTGCAGGTAAATTGAAATTTTATTTGAATGTTTTAAGCCAATGGAAATGTTCACACAGATCACGACAAATCGTTGCCTACTGATGCATAAAATTATCAAAACAGTACTTGAAAACTTTTATAATGAAAATTACAAAGGGATTTTTCATACGTTTCGGCAAAGTAATATATTTTGGATTTAATTTAGAAAATATCTTGAGCACACCAGGATAAACTAGACGAATGATTGTCCAAAGTAGATGAGTAGCAAAATTATTTGGTGTTGACGTTACATTCAGTATCTCAGTATTACTTGAGTTTTTCAGTTACTCCAGTCGGTATTTTGTTTTTAGTTCCCACGCCAACTGGCGAGGAAGTATTGTGATCGCGGAAAATTTAGGAAATGAGTTATTGTTCTTTGAATGTCTGGAACGAGGGGCAAGAAACAAGGAGTGGGAGAGGGTATATCAAATTTTTTTGATGTTAGTATATTTATATGTACTTGACCCCGGTGATTATATGCACCTGTTAGCCATATTTCACACAACACATATTTCCCCGTACATTTGCCTTTAAGACCTGATGATAGAGAAATATTTTCGATCCGCGTCTCCTTCTACTATCTAAGCTCACCGCCTGGAACTAACGGTAAGTCGCTGCTGCGATATCGTGGTTGGCGCTGACGTGGAAATATGGGCAGAGCAACGTTACCAGATGGACGGCATCTATCGGTAGGACAGGGAAAGAATGTCTGTAGAGTAATTGTATGGGTCTGTTTGACTGACTTGATTCATTTAATTTTTTTTCATATGTTCTTAATTGATTTAAATTGCGCTGATAGTCGGTCTCGCGCCTAATAGGGCCTCGCAAAAAAGAGTTATAAGAACATCCGATTTTCTGGCCAATGGGCAATCCTAGGTTCAAGTGAAATGGAATCCAGAGTCGCCAACTTGAAAAAGCCGTACCACTCGCGAAACCCGGCGAATCCCTGACTCGTCAATTACTTCTGTTTAGATATGCTCTATCACGTCTATCAATTGAAGCAGAAATAGCGGCTGGTGTTAGTTATGAAATAATATTGAAACAATTCAGTGATTCTAAAATCTGGAACGTTTGTCTATTTTAATTTGTGTTTGTTTATTCAAATTTGTCAACATTTAATTAGCATTGATACGCATACACCAATATATTAATGTATAACTCAGCTTATTTGAATTAAGGTTTTTTTACTGGGAAACGGAGGAAGCCTCGCAAAGCTGATATCGCCGACGTCCATATATGTATGCTCTAGCGCCGCCTCTGACAATGGATAATTGGTATACCTATACATAGTGAATATTTTATAAGTGAGAAATCGAACCGGAATATAATGATGATGTCCATTCCATTAAACTAGGGTATGCTTCTATTTTAGTAATATGGAATATTATCAGATGTCTTGTCATCTTGAGTTTCTCAGTAATTCATGGTCGTGTCGTGTCCCCCATATCAAATACTGAGAAAACTCATTAAGACTAATTCAAATCTACTTTGCTTCAGTGTATTTGGTGAGAGAGCACAAGATAAATACTTTTTTAAGAAGATATTAACTTTGCACTTAACAGGGTCGTTGCATAAAATCAATTTCTGAAGTGTTTAGTTATTTGTGACTCTGCCAGAACGCTTGTAAAGGACCCTTTTGTACACCTCAAGAGGTACAAAAAACTTTTTACTTCTTACGCCTCTGTAATCGCAAAAAAATCAAAAATGAAATATTATGTTTTTTCTAGGATGTCATCACGTAAAACCATGTCACCCATTTCTGTTAGTCTGTCTGTCTATCCGCTAATCATTGACCCACCTATAACTTGGAAAGTTTTAGTCGGATTTTGATGAAATTTTCCAACGACGAAAAAGCTTTGTAGTTTTTGAAAATAGCTCCAGTGGCGCCGGAGATACGAGTATAAAACGAAAAAAATAAAAATCATGGAAACTTGGTTTTTTGACGTTGACCATTTTCAGAAAAAAATTGTGAGGACTGGAATTTAGGGGTTAGTGATTGTAGGAGGTATGAGGCTGTAGATACTGCATCTCTGGTAATGCCTTTGGTATGAAAATCAAACTAACTACTATGAAGAAATGCTGCAAACAAAACCGTGATGGGATGTGTGGCGAACGGCTTAGGGATTTTAGTGAGTAAGGGTAATACTGTCGAGGCTTTCTGTATGAGGGTGGCTATGACAGCTATCCTTGTCAAAAAAAAAACACGAAACAATGTTGAATGGTCAAGGTCACAGAAATTGAAGTCAAAAACATGCAATTGAGCCTTAATTGAGTGTTTATTCATGCAATTTTTGCACACTAACACCACTGCTGTTATAATTCGTATGCCAGCTGAGTTCTTCCTAAGCATATTGTCTTCTCAATGCAATGCTTTGTAACCTGGGATTTCCTAGCTGCCGTATTTGGCTGCGAATTCCGGCACTGACTTATTACACAGTAGGTACCTCCAAAACTAATAATAATTTTCTTTGCAGCGCTTCCAACGTGTCGGTGCTGACCGTAGTGACATTCTCTACAGAGCGCTACCTGGCCATTTGCCATCCCCTGTACAAATTGGCAATCACCAGCCTGCAGAGGGCGCGGCGGATAATAATCGCATTATGGCTGATCTCGCTGGCATGTGCCATGCCCTTCGCCGTCAACAGTGACGTGCATTTTATATCGTATCCGGAAAATGGCACTTACAGGATACCGGTGAGTTTGCATTCGGATATATATATTTGCAGGCATAATACTATATGTATTGCTCGAGAAGATAAACCTACGCGTATGCGATCAATCTCTTTCGCACACGCAGCGTCACTGGTAAAAATCCCAATAGACAGTTGACAAACGTACAGTTTTAGCGCTTTAGCGCCTAATTTGTGATTAGTTTCATTAATTGGTTTCAAATAAGTATCTGCGTGAAATATAATTAAAAACAGTACTGTGCAGTGGTGGGGTGTTTAAGCAACAACAACAAGAATAGTGAGGACGTTTCAAATTCGCATTTCTGCAACTATATAAAGAACAAACAGGTTTGCGAACCGCAAGCATATGTTTGGATCACTTTATGGAAAGTGACTACTATTCAAAAGAAGAAAACTTTGAGAGTATCTCAAAATAAATGGAAGTTGAAAAGTAATGCAATATATTTCCTCCGAAGAAATCACCAAAGACACAGACTTTTCGCAGTATATTAATGAAAAACATGCTGAATATGGAGATCACAAAATCAATCACTTAAAAGTGGGATGTTTTAGAAGGGTTTAATAATTACAGCAAAACAGCAAAATGAAAATCTGACTTGTATTCCAGACAGCAATGAAATGTCATTTTTCTCGGTTAACCATCTTTCCAAAGGTGGCTTACTAATGCCAAACCCAGATTTTCTAATCAAATGTAATGAACTCGATCACATTTTCAAACATTAGATCGCAGGGTCAATAGAAAGATGAAGAAAATTGTAAAATAAACTCAATAATACTGTCACCCATACAAAATTCTTTATTAACACCGACACATAAAAAAGAAGAATTTTATACAAAATTATAAAGATGTCATACCCTGTTCTCCATCATTTTTCAAATTAATATGACACAATAATGTATTATTTGAAACCAATTTACTCCGATAAAAAAGAAAGTAGGAGCTCTAATGAAACGCAAAATATGTTAGGCAGCCTTATGGCGCGCCGGAATATATGGGTGATTCTAATTTTCAGAGAAAAAAATATTTCAGGCAAACTTCTTATTTGGAATTTACTTCTGATAGGCTAGGGGCAGCTGTTAAGGTGACATGTGTTGTTATATCTCACCTCAGTTTGGAGGAAGGACATTGTTAGGCGCCAATTTTCGTAACCAGTGGGAAGGTGGTATCTGTGAACTCAGTTACCTTGTACATTCCCTGGATTTAGTCAAGCATACCACGTCAAAACCATGTCTATAATGTTTGGATTATTTATAATAAATATACAATAAACGTTTCTGTTATTACGGTTTGAGGTCGGCGAAGCTAATGATGTTTGACATTTCAACTCATTTTTTTTCTTTTCCAAGCTACAAAGTATATTTAGCCCAGTAGGTCAGGAACACTGTCATTTGAATCTGCAATTGATTGCAATGTTGCGCATTTAGGTAATCAACAAAATGTTTCTCAGAAAGTTTTGAAATTTAAAGTACTTCTAAGGAGAGATGGAAAAAATGAATTTTCCAAAATAGCTTTAATTTTTTCATGACTTTATTTGTACTGGGATTTCAAAATAAATTGCACATTAACATTGCCACTTTTTCTCCTCTATAGGGTGGCATAATTAGAAGTTCAATATGATGTTTCAGCTCGTGGCCTCCAGCATCAACTTTACTTCTCTGATGGACGCCATATCGAGCATTAGATTCTGATTTTAAAACTGTAATATGTCATTGACATTGTCAAACCTTCGTTATTTCAGAAAAACAGAAGTTGCTAGGTAGGCCTTAAAATTATCAGATTTCATTTGTTTCTTATACCAGACCAGACCCCAAATTGGACATAGTAACACAGTTTGGAAGACTGAGAAGAAGAGAAATAAATCGAGCAGTGAACAATGTAGAGAAACGAGTCTGGCTTTCCCTACAAAATAACGGACAACATTTTGAACGTCTGCTATGATTTATCTTTATTTAATTATGATTATTATTGTTATCACCATCAATAAATTTTTCATTTTGTGTTTCACTGTAACATTTTATTTCTTTACAATTTTCATCCTACAACAAATTCATGATAAACTAAGGAAATACATCACTGACCTTGGGACACAAAATTCCAATATAATGTTCATATGAAAAAAGTTGATGATGGAAGTCGAAAGAAGGAACCTTGATTTGAAAATTTGACTACGCTATCTTGTAGAGGAGAATAATTAACAATGACAACATGCAATTTATTTTGCAAACCCTTCTCAAATGAAGTCAGGAAAAAATGAAAATGATTTTGGGATAAATGTGGTATACAAAACAAATGAGTACCTGATAAATTCAAGGCCTACCTAGGAAATTTTGCTTTTTTTGAAATAACTAATGTTTGGCGATGTCAATGTATGGCGTGTAATACATTTTCGGATTCAGAATTGAAAACTGTATTATTCATCCATAAGAAAAAATAAAGTTGATGCCAGAGGACAAGAGACGAAACGTCATACTTGAATTTCAGTCAATTTTGAATTCTCACTTCAAATAAGGTCAGGAAAAAATTAAAGCGATTTTCGGAAAATTCGTTATTTCCGTCTCCCTCGGAAAGTATTTTCAGCTTCTAAGCAGCATTTTGTTGATTACCTAAATACGCAACTTTGCCGTGTTAACCGTAACCATTAACCGTAACTCTTACAGTTTCCGAGATCCCAATGGTGAGGTTCCAATTTGAAACACCCTGAAGAGTCATTCGAATGTTACTTAAGAAGAATCGATTTTCAGTAGCGTGATTTAAGGGCTTTTTATAGGAATACCCTGTATTGAAGTTCTTATAAAATCTGACCTACAGGCTTTTCTTACTGAGAAATGTTTATGATGGACTCGACTACTTGCTAGTTTTCCTTGACTAGCTTCTGAACGATACCAGACAGTTCAATGCGTTTATTTCCCACGCTTACTGACGTGGAAGTATTGAAGTCACTATAAACATTACTGAATTATTATGTCTTTTGAATGTTATATAACGTGTACATCACGAACACTGCCTGTCCGCTAATTCTCGTCTATAACTTGGAAAGTGCCGCTCTAATTTTGATTAAGTTTTTACACGAGATGCTGTGGACGACGAAGCTTCGGAGTTTTTGATCCATTGGTGAAGGCATGGAGGGCAAAAAATGGAAAAAATAAAAACCACTCCATTCTTCGTTAAAAATGGTGGGATGTAGGGGAGGACATGTATTTTTTGGCACCTATTAGTACATATACTAAGTGACATATAAATCCGAACACCCAGTTTAAATGGTTTTATTTTAATAAAATTTTGTATAAGTACTTAATGAAGCATAATAAGTAAATGATAAAAATTTCAAAATGATTGCACTGCTTTAAAGCCCTTTGACCTTTAATAATGTGTGGATGCACCCTGATGTGCTACGCATTCTCCAACGCGCCTAGGCATGCTTCTGATCAGGTGGTCAATGTCCTCCTGTGGTATCTCATTCCAGGCAACCACCAACTCCTCTCGAAGTGCTTCTAGAGTCTGAGGAGGACGTTGCAAATTGAGCAATCTCCTACCCATCATATCCCACACGTGCTCAATTGGGGATAAGTCGAGAGATCTTGGTGGCCATGGTAACAATGTGACATCATTATGTTGAAAGAAGTCTATTGTGACTCTTGCAACATGTGGTCGGGCATTATCTTGTTAGAAAGTTGGATCTGCCAGGGTGTCAAGATAGGTTAAAAGATGGGGTTCTAGAACTTCGTGGATATAACGCTGCGCGTTCATGTAACCTCTGATGAAGATTAAAGGTGACCTGGAACCATAAGCTATGGCACCCCAAACCATAACTCCAACAGTGTGATGAACATGTCTTTCAACAAAAAACTGTGGATTCCTCCTTTCACCACGTCGCCTTCTAACCCTGGCACGACCATCGTGCATGCCTAAACAAAATCAAGACTCGTCACTAAAGACAATACTGTTCCATTCCTGATCCCAGAGTGACCGTTGTCTGCACCACTCAAGGCGATTCCGTCGGTGTTCTCGAGTTAAAGGGAGGACCCAGTGTGGCCGGTTGAAAACAAGCCAAAACTTCTCATTCGTCGGTAAACACTTCGCATGCCAATAGGTCTTCCGTGTTCTGCAAACCATTCATTTGAAATGGACCTGGTAGTGGAGAAACGGTCCCTTAAGGCCAATAATCTTAGGCGGCGACCTTCACGGTCTGTTGTTCTACGGCGGCGTCCAGTGCCCCTTGGTCTTTGCGTACGGCCTTCTCAAAGCCATGCCTGACAACACCTAACCACAGTGTCTACACTTCTTCGCACTCTAACTGCAATTGCCCGAAAAGAAAATCCAGCTTCCCGAAGTCCCACTATACGGCCCCTATCAAACTCTAGGCATCGTAACCGATCGTAAAGGATGTCAACAAGAACCAAAATCCGCCAACGTTGATTTTTTACTGCGGCTGAAATATTCATTTTTAGAGCGTTAGTGAATAAAAAAAGCAGTATAAAAACCGGAATGTCCAACTGATAAGGCTGAACATTTTTTCACTTGTTATTTACAGTAAGATAAATACATTCACCAACTTTTATTAAAATAAAACCATTTAAACTGGGTGTTCGGATTTATATGTCACTTAGTATATTTCACACATCATAGCTTTAGCCATACATTTGCCCTTAAAACTTAGAGAAATATTAGGCGCGACACCCGATGATGGGAATGGTGATAACCTTTATGCGCTAACCTGTGTGTGTGTGGGTCTGACTGCATCGCCAGCGTTCTCGATTCCGAGTTATAGTATCGTAGTTCTTGTTTGTAGCTGGCTCAGAGAGACTAACTTATGCTGAACGTAATAATTTTTAACTGATGACAGCGATGATTGCGTGGGGAATGTAGAGTTAATCTACTTGACGCCATTTTTTAAAGGTTTTTGTTGCGTCTACCGTCACCTAAACCACGGGAAAAAACTGCTCAAACCGCCTCTTGATAAAACAATCAAAACCCTCGAAATGCTAAAAGATCTGACCTATGCCCTATCTATCCGGCGCTGCGGTTGCCTCGTCGCCAGCGCCCTATTCTTGTCAAAGAGTCATTATTCGATTGTCTTTTATCTTGCCTTCCTTTCAATTCAGCAGCTTGATTGCTTTGATGTGATAGTCGATATCGAACTTAATGCAAATCTCTCGGGTTGCATGCGTTGGTTGTTGTGTTGAGCATCACGATGCCATTGGTGCACATTAGGGTTGTAACTTTGGTTTCATTCAAAGAATAAAAATAGTTAGGGTCCTATCGGCCGTCAATGTTTTGGCAGAATTTAAAGCCGAAATTCGTGCGCTCCTAGCAATACTTTCCAGAGTGCTCTAGGCGCACAGGTGGCGGCCTGGCGTTTATTCAATATACCTATACCTACACGACAATCGATGAGCACGGTGGTAAGTAGGGGGGTGAACCTACTATGGGCGAATGGGAAACAAAGCATTGTTGCTCAAAAAAGGGCGGCCTATTCGCAACTGACGTCTGATTGGTCAGATTTAAATTTCCGGCGAATTTCTTCCTGTGCTATGTGCTTGTGCTGTGCCCTCGCCCTGTGCTTTGCAAAAATAACCTTATTTTTTTTCAGCATGTCATTTTCGTAACAATTCACTTTACATCAATTAAGTCCCTATTATGTTATTTGAAACATATGCCTTTGGTTCAGTTGTGAAGTATAAAAATGTGAGTACACAAAGATGTAATATATTTGTAAATGCTATAAAACAAACTCCAAATCAAAACTGTTTTTTTTTTAAGGTGATCCAAAGTGATACCAGATTCTCATTATCAGAAGTGCGGGGATTACTTGTGATCTAACCAGAAGGCACAGCTCTGAAGGATATTTGCAGACCATAACATTTGTAAGTTTTTACATGACTCAATAACCAGTGATAATTTGTACTGCTTTTTGTCCAAGTTAATTTCCATAATTTATTTCTAATCAGCTATTCTCAGAGCAGCAGGTTGCTATGCAAAGCTCACTATAATTTTAATGAAATCGAAACTACATTTTGTTATTGAACAATAACATAGGTGCCGACAGAGGGCCCTGGTCTCTCCTGGAGATCCGCTTTGACTTTAAAATTTGTATATCTAGCATGCTTTTGTGTACAACTTTGAGAATTTGTTAGGATTTATCCCCTCTGAAATAATTGCTACCTCTGCTCGTCAAAAAATTATGGCACAGGTACAATTTCACAGAAAGTTATCTCTCAATGATGATCAGCACCCCTGATAAA